GAGCCCCTGCTGCAGGGTGGTGGGCGACAGGACCTTGGGGGTCCCGCCCTGCCGCTCGGGGTCGCTGCGGGGTGATGCCGAGCCGGCGCTTCTCGGCGCGTCCTCGGCTTTCTCTGAGGTAGGTGTTAGGGGATGTCGGCTGCTCTCAGCCACCTCTGCCGGGTCCTGCTGGGCATCCCCCTCGCCCCGGTCACCCTTTGTCTTCAGGGCCTTGAGGAGCTTCAGGCTCCTCTCGTACTCCAGGAGCTGGCCCAGGAAGTTGAAGTTGGGCGAGATGGATGGGCGACGGTCCTTAACGAACCTGCCGAGAGGTACAGACAGCCCTGGTTGGTGCTTGGTCGTTCAGTGGGTCACCCCTACTCTCTCAGCCTCTTTGGGGAGAAAAGGCATCATCCGGAACCTTCTGACTAGACCCGCCAAAGAAAGGAGTCTTGGGGAACCGTGGGACCTTGGAATGCCCCAGGGTTAGAGGTGGGAATGCCTCCCCCCTCCATTTTACCGCTGCCAAACATTCCTTTTTGCATGCACTTTATGAGAGGAGATTTGGTTTGGTTGTATTGGGACCTAGCCAAGGCAAGACAGAGTGTCAAGGAGCCCTGACCCTCCTGGGCTCAGCCTGCTTTCCTTCCCTGGAGTAAAGCATACCAGAGTAACCCCTCCCTGCCCTTTGGGGGAAACTCACCTGTAAGCATCGTCTGATGACATACCCATGGTCTTCATGATGTAGGCGATGGCGATGGTGGCTGACCGGGAGATCCCAGCCAAGCAGTGCACAATCACCTGGCAGCTGGACACCTTGGCTTTGTCTGGAGCACGGTAGAGGAAACAGAGAACAGAGATGGTGAGCAAAATGACTCTAGCCTCCCTCCCCAACCCTCAGTCCCTTAGTGTGAAAGGACAACAGTCGCTGAGAGCAAGACTATGGAGGACAGGAGAAGAGTTCAGGTTGTGAAGGCTGAGAACTAGAGGGTCTGAAACCATTTTAAGAAAAGCTCACCAATGAATTCAATGGACTTGTCCAGCCAGGGAAGCAGCTTCTCACAGTAGTTGTCATTGACAGGAATGCGCATGAAGTGACTATCACAGATGAAGTCTGGCTTGGGACAGGAGTTGCTGGCATTTAGGACATAGCTTATCCCGTTCTGTGTCATCAAGTCCTGGTGGGAAAGAAGCCATCAAATGATCAGCTGAGTTCAGCCAGCACCAAGTGCTGAAGATCTGTCTTGCCATGCACACTCCCTGCCTTCTGCCATCCCACTGTTTTATCCTGAGCCTGCCTTGGCCTAGTTGATGACAGTACAGCAGAGACCACCTGAGAAGGTTGTGTCAGTTTAGATGACACAGGTTTGAACCTCAGTAGACCTTTACTTTACTTTACTTGTACTTTACTTTAGACCAAAGACACCTGGAAGGGGATTCCAGAGGGGAAAACCCAAAAACCCCAGTCTGAGAGAAAAAGTTAAATAAAAGAAAGAAAAGTAGCAAAATCCCTGGCTGAAAGCTTTGAAAGCATCAGCTGAGACAGGAGACATCTCACCATCAGAGTGGAGCGAGTCATTGGTAGCACCTTACATTAACCACCATGACCAGAAGATGCTCTACCCATAGACAACAGAGGGAGGTCAAGTGCAGAGGCCATGCACGGACAATGTTTGTTTTCACCAGCACATGGCCACGTTGTGGGGATGGCAGAAAACAGTTCCAAAAGATGAAGAAAACCCTCCAAGGAGGTGGGGAGGGAAGGAAACCATCCATTTCTCTGCCTGGGATCGGCTCTTCAGGATTTTACAACCAGGATTTTGGGACCAGGATTTCGGCCCTGGCTCTCCAGCGGCTGGTCCCTGTCCACCCCAGCAGGCTCAACAGAGCCAGCCCAACTCCCAGGCTCACATTCTTGGCGTTTTTCTCTTTCATTTCCTTCTATTCCCTGTATATAATCTCTCTCTCCCTCCAGCCCCCCTCTAGTGTCTTGTTTCCTTTCTCTCCTTGCCTGCCCTGGGTGAGGATGCCTGGCTGGCTCTCTCCTGCCCATGGTAGGCAGGGAGTGTCTGGCAGCACTTTGACTGCAATTCCTCTTTGTTTCTTACTGCCATTATTTTTCCTTTAAACAAAAATCTTTCCGTGGAATGACAGCACAGCCCTTTCACCACCTATAAAAGGGTACTGTCCTTCTTTCCTCCTCTCTCATCACAGCAAAACTTTGCTCATTTTTGGGCCTCCTGAACAAGCCCCTGTCCCTGGCTGGAGTTGCCATGTCTGAATACCCCAGCTCGTTCCCACTCCATCTGCCTCCCAGGGGGATCACAGGATTACTGAAATTGGTCTTACCTGGCAACCTAGCTGGTGAGGCAGATGAGTGCAAAGCTGGTTCCTGTCTCACATCTCCCTCCAGCTGTGGTAACTCCCCCCTCCAAGCCCTGGTGTTTTCTGCCATGCTCCTCTCTCCTCTGAGTTTGCTATTGGCACTTTGGAAGAATTTGACCACCCCAAAGCTCATCACTGTAAGATGACTCATCCTGTGACCACCATTCCCAGTTCTGCCAGGCTCTGCCTATGCACTCCCTGACTTCAGCCTCCTAGTAGGGTCAAACTGACCACATATGGTCCTCCCACTGGGTAGAAGTCCTTAACACCTTCACACATCTGCAAGGTTGGGGCCCCAGATGAGACAGGGCAGATGTCTCCCCGACAGGACTGTACCTTGTTTAGGACATCTTTCTGGGAGCCCAGGTAGAGATGAGGCAGGATGCGTGTGGGGCCAACATTGGCCACAGGCAAGCATGGCTGGGAGATGCTCATTGGCAGGATGGCAGCTGGCTTCCCTTCGCAGAGCCCCGGGAAGCAGGACGAGAAGGTAGCAAAGCCTCCTGTGGAGAAAATGGAGACATTGAGCTCATAGTAGCAAGGCCAAGATCATCAGTACGTGGCACCCCGAGGCCCAGGCTGGGGACGAAGTGGTGATAACCCTGCAGTACTGAGAACACAGCCCTGAGGAGCAAAAAGTCACCAGCCACCGCTAACCAGCGCAGACACATTGTGATGACTGTGTGTGCTGATTTGAAAGCAAACCAGTGAGAGACTCCAAGTCAGAAATACAATTAAATAGGGAAAAAAAAAAAAAAAATAAATGCAACAGTACAAAAAGAAACCACGGACAGAGTCAGAAAGCAACCTGACACCCTGTCAGTCAGGGTGTTGGTAGCAGTCTGATTAAATGCTGCAGTCCTCCTGGAGTGATGGGTCTGCTGGAGCAGTGATCCTGTAGATCTGGTCTTCACCTGAAGGTCCAGTGGTAGCTCTTGTCCTCTGGGAATGTGGTAGGTAAGGGCTCCCTGTGCTGGCCCAAACCCCAGACTATATCTAGGTGGGAATGCTTGGCTCCTCCCCCTGGGGTGAAGCATCTCACAATGGGATGATGTAATTCCATGGGTCCTTGACAGCCCATTAAACAGAGAGAGCTTCGTCAGGGAGTTATCAGGGATGAGTCATGGTAGGAGATAACGAGCACTGCCCCACCTGCTTTAACAGCTTGTGAAGATGGTAACAGAACACATGCTATTGGTTACATCTTACATTGTAACCTAGGACATCATCCACCCCTTATTCTATTACCATCTGCACCATAGCCTAATCAATTCCCTCCTTAATCTCTACATATACACACACTATGAAAACCTTACACACAATTCTCACT